CAGAATTTTGGAATTCTGCAGACGTTCGATATATAGAAAAACTTGGGTATACTTACCCTGAATTGGCAAAATTTAAAGGCCAAGATCCAAAAGAATTACAAGCTTATCTTCTTAAACTTTATAAACCTGATCCTCATTATGGGCGTAGATTTTACGTAAAGTTGACTATTGAAGCGGGTAAATTAGTTGGACCATACTCTGTTAGAGTTTTTCTTGATTTACCTAATGCGAATGCCCAAACACCAGTAACTTCACCTCATTTCGCTGGCTTAGTTGCCATGTGGCGTAGTACTAATAATTACCAAGCAAATAATACTTTTATCGCGGGAAGTGTTGATATTACAGCATGCATGGAACGATTAGGAATTCGAATGGAAAAACATGATTATGTTCAAGATGTTAATGCTACAACAGGCTTGGTAAAACCAACATCACTTTTTGATGTTAATGATGATATCATTGTAGTTCCTGTTAGGTCGGATGGAAGTGAAGTTAGTCCGAAAGATGCTGGAGTTAATAAGGTTGATGTTTATTCATTCGAACACGATCAAGTAGATAAAAATTTCTTGGACGAAAGCACTGGTCAATATCATGGCACTAAACAATTTTGAATGACATTTAATTCTTTACTTTATTGGGATCATTATTTACTGTATATTAAAATTTCTCTAATCTTAACGTAAGTTCTACAGTAATTACTAAGTACCTTAAAACTAATTTAGCTTGCATCTAATAAAATTTCGTTTATGTAATAAAGACCTTTGTATAGTATTATTATTATTTTTAATAAAGCTAGTATATGACCCATTGCTTGCGCAATATCTACTCGGGTTAAAGTTTAATAGGGATCACTGCTGCACTAGTATTGACTATGAATAAAGTGTATCTCACGAATATAAGGAAACCATTAAAAAGTAAAAAATATAGATTTATCAATTGATCATAAAAGAAAAATATTAAGAATTATTTTCTGTTGTGTATGGCGGTGGCGATGAAGTGAATAATTCATTATATATGTCTGGTTTTTTCAATCTTTTAGGTTCAATATTATGAATCTTCATGTATTCCATAATTTGATCTGGAATTTCTTTTAATACAGCCTTAGGCAGATCTATATTAATCTTACCCCGTATAAAGTCATTCATCCTGACAAAATGAACAATATCTCGAGGTTGCAAGTTAACATCCCATTTACGGTTTAATAGTTCATCATCCAATAATTTCATAGCATTAAAATTTGCATTTCCTACGCCTACAATTACGATTGAAAGAGGATAAATAGTAGCATTCATAATAGCTTCTATTGTATTGTTTAGATCTGAAATTATACCATCGGTAATAATAAGAAGGATGCCATATACATTATTCTGTATCGACACTAGTTCCTTTAAATTATTAGAAATTGTTTGTATGATTGGGGAGAAATTTGTAGGGCCTGATAAATTAACATTTTGCAAACTATGTTTATAAATGTCAATAGCTCTAGAAATTCCTGTATTATGAGAAGATCCACCACTTGTTAATAAAAAACTATGAGATACTGTAGAATTTTCATAAAATTCTCCACCGAAACCGTATACTGGAATATGACCATCTGAATCATATTTTTCTAAAATGGTACCTACTAAATGCATCGCACGTTCATATTCAGAATTTTTGGATTTTAATCCATGAAGATCTATTCCACGATCAAAATTTGATGCTGTAAAATCTACAGCTATGCTTAATTGTATTTCAAGTCCGCCTTCAATATAATCTAAGAATGTTTTTTCTTTTTTATATGATAATCGAATTTCACCATGTTTTTCAAAAATAATTCTTTGTAAAGTACCCGCATTTTTTATAAAATCATCAATCGTCCAAATTTTATTACATAGTAACTTGGGATTTTTTCGTCCATCCTTGAAATACTTGAATCCTATTTTATCACTATTATTAACATTGTTCCATAAATCATTTTCAGACAAGAACATAGGCTCCCATTCAGGATTTTTAGAGCTACTTGAAATGCTTCGATATACTGAAAATTCGGTTTCTTCTATTATTCGAACAATTTCATAATAAGTTTTCTCTTTTGTGATTAAAGATGAAATAGGGATATTATAACCAGATATATTAAACTTATATTTTCTACTGTTTTCGCCACGTACTTCTCTGGCTGCAATAATAATTTCACCACGTTTTTCTCCAACACGCCTAGTGAGGTTGCCCTGCATAATTCCTCTTTGTCTACCCAGAATAGAACCAAGATCAGTAATGAATTCACCCACAAATTCTTGTGCCTGCCAATTTGGATTATCAAATTTATCAACATCTACAACAATTAGTTTAATTCTTTGCAATTCCTCAAAATGATAATCCAGAATAAGAGGCGTTGCAAATCTTGGATTACTATTGTTTTTTATTATTTCCGTCTTACAGTGAGGATATTCGTCCCATATTCCATATGATTTTTGCAAGAATAAGAATATTTGTGGGTCAGATTGTGATAAAATATCCAAGGAAGGAATATTTTTTACAGCAATTCTAAGCTCAACTATCGACATATCTTTGCTCGTTCTGTTCTGTTAAAGTAATAAAGTGTAAGTAGGTTTCAAATTAATATGGCAAGAGCTGGATTAATTAACGTACAAAAGAATTTCTTTTTCTCTTGTGTTACAATCTTCTAATCCTAATTTGGTTATCTATACCTTTTTGAAAAATGGCTAAAGCCCCTGTGTATTATAGATTTTAAATAAGTAGCTGAACGACATTGTCGCGCTAAACCAGAACGAATGATATAAGCCTAATTTAGAAAAAGTCGGACAATTCCATTAAGTTATATGTTGTATCAGATAAATAAATATCATACGTATCACAATCAAACACAGCACAAATATATTGAATGAGACGCTAAATTAAACAAAAAAAGAAATTTTATAAGGTTTTAAGATCTGTATAGTACGTATTAAGTGTAAAATACCTTACAGATTATAAAAATAGAGGTATTTAACACCCGTACTGTACAGATCTGGTTATACTAATCTGCAATATTTAAATAGTTTCTTGATTATACAGAAGCTAATGAGAACTGAACAGCTCATATTAAATGCTTTGACCTATAGTTGTTAGGCGAAATCTCAAGCTTGCGTGCTGATGAAACGCGAAACCTAGTCTCGTCTTTCGTCAATTAAAATCTTAAATGACGAAACTGTAAAGGGTGAAAAACTAATAAAAGGCGAATATACAAATAAGTGTTGCTATGTATATAAAAAAATAAACTAACAAAAACAGAAATATATAAAAATTACAAAAAAATTTATTGAAAAATGGGCGTTTGAATTGTTTAAAGAGAGTATCCTATATTGTATTATATTATACTAGTATACACATAACAGTTCTTTGAGAAATTACTTGGTAGGGGTCTACAAATGGGCATGCCAGGCATATTGGTACCAGGCCAGGGACTAGTGTCTCATGCTATGCCCATGCCTAATGCACAAAAGTGCCAGGCGTAATTATGAGCATAGGCACAAATGACAGGCATTTTTATGGGCATGGGACAAATGCCAGGTACTTTATAGGAACGGCTCAATATGCTAGGCAAAAGGTGCCAAAGGTGCTAGGCACAATTAATTAATAAATATTTAATTTTTGTGCCCATTCCAATGCCCATGCCAAGTTTTTGTACCCATGCCAATACCCATGCCAAATTTTTGTGCCCATACCCATGCTCGTGCCAAATTTTTATGTTCGTGCCATTCCTATGCCTTCTGTTGGGCATGGGACGAACCCGGGTTGCTAACCCTACTCATAATCTATTTAGAGGTGCGATCTGTTATCCGTTTTCCTATTTAAATTTACGGATATCCGTAAATTTATTTAGTGAAACGGATAATGGATCGCACCTCTAAATCTATTTAAAAAAATTATTTTTCATAGATTATTGATACGATATTTAAGAATCGTCTATTTTTCATATTTTGGTCCCATTACTACAAATTGTACTTGAACAGAACAATTTTTCAATCATAAAAAAATCTATGAAATTAATTAATTTATTGACCAAACAACCCACCACCATTAATTGTGTGATAGATTAAATTAGTACTGAATATATTTAATCTGCACAATACCAATATCTTTCATAACTAGAGGTGAAATCCATTATCTGTTTTCCTATTTAAATTTATCCATAAATTTATTTAGTGAAACGGATAACGGATCGTACCCCTATTCATAACACCTACATCAACATTAAAAAGCACGCAATTTTATGCAATTAGAAAATTGGGCTTCAATACTATGAATATATTTAAAATTCTAATTCATTTGTGTAACATACATCTTCAAATTATAAATCAGAGTTTAATTTCTTGCACAAACCCTAATAAAATTGGTTTTTGAAATATTATTTAAATTGAAATTTGATATTTCAATACTTAATTGAGAAAATATTAAAATTGTCAGAGTCAATTATATCACCAAGAAACTAATTGAATTCTAATAACTGATTTTACTTTACAACCAATACGTTCAAGCTAATATTCTTAAAGCAAAATAAAAGTGGACATTGAGTCATTTGTTGCTTTCCAAATAGATGCTTCAATAATCTTTTCTTGATTTTCTACAACTACTAACATCTTAAGAATTTTATTTTGAAGGATTTTATGACAAACCTCCAGTTTGATCATTTATATAGAGGTGTGAACTAGTGATGCTGACATAACTTTTAACAGCACTATGTTTTTGTTTTATCACGTGGTAAACTGATTTAACTTTTATAATAAGTTAAAACTGTTAAAATAAAAATGTTATAACTATAGATAAAATATGATCAAAAATTAAACTATCAAATGACGTAAAAGTTGTTTATAAATAAAACTAACGGCAAACCAATTAATTTAACAATTCTTTATTTATTCAACATGTCAAATATTGTTAATAATTCAATTACTACAAGTGATACTGATGATTGTTCAGTTACTTCGTCAAGTAAAAAACCTAATTCTTGTGGTCGACCTTGTGGGGAAGTATGGGACGATTATAATATTGATAGAAAAAATAGAAACTACTATTTTATTCAATATAAATATTGTCTTACACATTGGCAAAGAGAATACCAGCCAATATGGAATCACATTTGGCTAATGAATGTTCTAGCTGTCCACAATTCAAACAAAAATATTGGCAGGATAAAATTGATAATTGAAATAATATTTATCAACGAACTTCCAAAACAAAATGCTACAAATCAAAAAGTCTGGTTAATACAAATGATTCTGGATCACTTTTTATAGATTGTCAAAATTCACTTGATCATGCTGTTTTAAAAGCTTGGGTTGGATGTGATATATCTTTTGAACTTATTGATAACTCATTTATACAAGATTTATTTATGCAACTTAATTCAGCATATCATCTACCTACATACAACATTATCTGATCAAATTCTTGATAAAGAAATAACAAAAGTTAACAAAAAAATTTCTATAATCTTTAATAAAAATAAGAATTTAACTTTAAATAAGTAAATTAATTAAAATTATTTTATAAAAATATATATTTATTAATTTATTATATTAGTATTAAATAGATAATTATCTTCTCAAGGTTTATCAATATATAACTATCACAAGTTAAATCAATGAATAACAGGTACATATTGGGAGACAAATCTTCTGGTATGTACCCATTATTCTACTACACATCTGCCAAATAACTGTAGCATATTAGTAGTATATTAGTAATATATAGGTTAGATATCAGGAGGTAGATCAATAATAGTAGCATAACAGTAATATACTGGAATATCCCAATATCTTACTCTTAGCACTATTTGGATAAGAGTAAGATATCAGGATGTCCCAGTATGTTATTGTTATATTACCATTATCAATCTACTTCCTGATATCTAACCTATATGTTATCAATATGCTACTGATATGCTATAGTTATTTGGTAGATGTGTGGTAGAATAACAGGTACATACTAGAAGATTTGTCTCCTGATATATACTCATTATTCATTGATTCAACCTGTGTATATTGTTACTACAGTTAATTGCAAGGAATATTTTGTTACATTAAAGGTTTATTTCAACAATTCAAATACTAAAAATTTTTAGTATCTGAAATAAGTGCAATAGTAACTTCAATTGGCCTTGAAAAATTTGCTGTAGTTGTAACAGATTCTGGAAGCAATTGTAGAGTTGCATATAGAATTACAAATAATAATTATCCACATATTTTAGATATAAGATGCATTGCTCATTTGATTAATTTAATTGCAGAAGATTTTACTAAAATTTTACATATTAAAATATTTATAAAAACTTGTAGACATATTATACAATTTTTTAATAAATCACAATTATCTAATTAATTAATTAAAAATAGAATTAATATAATAAAAATTAAAGGTGGCAGATTACAAACTTATACAAAAACAAGATAATGCTTTTTATGGAATATGACAGATTCATTACTATGCTTACAGTCAGTTTTCAGTTGAGTAAATTATTTTATATTTAATATTTATTGATATTAATTTAACTATATAATAAAATAATATCTTAATTTTTTTAGATACAAACTAATTACAAAAGTAGTTTAACAAATAATTATATAAAAAATATAATTAATAGTGAAAATTATTTTATAAATTGTCATTTTATTAATCAAATTATAAAACTTATAAAAATATATATTGTAAGACTTAAAGCTCAAACTGCAATATTGGCAGATTGTTATATTAATATATTAAAATTAGCAGCAGTAATTTATTTACTTCTAGTTGAAAATTTATTTAAATTATATATAATAGCAATTTTTAATAATTGATATAAAAAACTTAATTATGAAGCATATCTTTTAAGTTATTATTTATATCCATTATACTTTAGTAAGTAAATTTAATTAAATAAATATTAAATATAAGTTTTAATAATAATAATAATAATAATAATATAATTATATAATTATTAGGATATGGTCTTAAAGAACAAATATTTCATTTAGCAAGTCTTATAGCTACTAATTATTTAAAAGCTCTTAATTATAATGAAGCTGAATATATTGATTTACTAATTGAATTTTGCAAATTTATTTATAATAAAGAACCTTACAAAGCAAAATTTAATTCTTAAAAAGATTCTTCAATTACATACATGGTGGTTAACATATAATATAAAATATTATACTAGCCTAGAAGATTTGGCTATCAAAATGTTTTCAATTATACTATCTCAAACAGCATGTGAATAAAACTTTTCTATTCTAAAGTAGTTTTATAGAGATCTAAGAAATCAATGTACAATAAAATGTATTGAATCTATAGCTAAATTATAGATATATTGGTTAACAGAAATTTGAAAAGAACTTAAATATTATGAAAAAGATTTAATTGAAAAAGAATTGTGAGCATGTGCTAATATAATAGCAATTCCATCTTCAGAATTAGATATATTTAATATAAATAACACATTTGATAGTTATGAATTAGAATCTTATATTATAGATTAAAATACTTCCTTCTCAGTTTCAGCAAATTCTAATAAACTAATGGC